AGCCAGCCGTGTGGGGGTGGCAGCGCGCGCCAATGCCGGGACCTACCCAAGCGCTGTCCCCAAATGGCGAGAACAACAACGACATCCTGCAGCAGGATAACGGGACCATCATCCCCTTCAGGAAGCACACGGTGCGCGGGGAGCGCTCCTACAGGTAACCCGCGGGGGGCTGCGGGCACTGCAAGGGGGGTGGGAGGGGTTGCATAACAAAACGCCGTCCTCTCCTCGCAGCGGGTTTTAAAAAATAAGGTGGGACCTCTTCGCCCGGGGTCCTGCCTAGCCTGCGCATGAGCAGGATAACGGGACCATCATCCCCTTCAGGAAGCACACGGTGCGCGGGGAGCGCTCCTACAGGTAACCCGCGGGGGGCTGCGGGCACTGCAAGGGGGGTGGGAGGGGTTGCATAACAAAACGCCGTCCTCTCCTCGCAGCGGGTTTTAAAAAATAAGGTGGGACCTCTTCGCCCGGGGTCCTGCCTAGCCTGCGCATGCAAGCCTGGCTCTGGGAAATAGCGTTTGCATTGTCCGGCTGTTAAACATTTTGCGAGTAGACTTGCTGCCTGCAGGGGCTCTCCCGCCCCACGCACCCTTCCCACCCCTCCTTCCTTGCGTCTTCATACAAAATGCAAGCGAGCGAGAACCGGAGGGAACCGGGCTGCAGCATTTCTTCTTGTGCCGGCGACGCCGGGCAGCAGCTAGGCGTGAAGAGCCAAGGCGATGGGATGGAGTGAAAACGGCTTGTGCCTGCCCTGCTGCGTGCAGGGGAAAAATGGAATCCTCTAGATTAAACTGGAGTCTGGGGTGATGCTAAAACGCCAGATTGATGGAGCTTTGTAAGAATCCGGCTCCCTGATTGGCGGAAAGCTTGACAGCAGAGGTCATGGTGTCAGGCATTCACTAAAATTTCCTCGATACCCAAGGGTTATTAGAGACAAGGTGGGCTGCAGCCGTTTCTCGAAGACACAGCATATCACTGTGCCTTTGATTCTGGATTGTTGCAGGGAACACAGCCCTTCTTTCCAGTTGGGAGGCAGTAGCATTGCATTTTTGCCTATGATTTGAGGATGGTGGCTGTTCTTTGTCGCAGTTGTGAGCATTTTTGATTAATGGTTTGGCATGCATTGTTGGCACCATTTTTACATTAACATATCTGACAATATGGTCCAGGAGATAAGCTAATTAAAATTGTTATCCTTATCAAAAAATGAAAACAACGTAGCCTTGAATCATTTGAATGCAACTGGTTTTATGTGCTCTAAGCTGTAGAGTTGAAGAGTGATAATATGGATAATCCTTTCTCTTCTAAAGTTGTTATTCAGTTATTTTGAATACTGCCTTGATGACAGCGAGCTGTACCTTTTCAGAGAACATGCATCTTTCAAAGCTTATATTCTCAAGCAAGCAACAGGAAATAATATGGTCCTTAAAATATTAGCTAAATATTTTTAGATAACACATACTATCTGATAGCACATAGCACTGGATCAAAATAAATGAGTTTTGCTTAGTTAGCCAAACAAATGGGAGTATTTAACTTTATTTTCATTAGGAAAAACCTGGTCCTAATACAAGTTGTACCTCCTTTAACTGGTATCAGAGGGGTAGCCATGTTAGTCTGAATCTGCAAAAGTGACGAGTCCTGTGGCACCTTATAGACTAACTGAAGTCCTTTAACTGGGACTCTCTAGTTTGGCCCACAGCTATTCCTAGACCACAGAGTCTTAAGTATAAGGAGGTTGGGCCCCAGGGCAGGAGAGATACTGGGGATGGGCAGGATGACTCAGCCAGGAGTCCTGTGTTGAGGGAGGAGCAGGCAGTACAGCAGGGAGTTCTAGCCCCTGCTGCTGGGTGGTATCAGGGGCTGGCAATGGCCACCTCCGGCAGGTGCGGCATCTGCACCAGCTGCACAGCCATGGAACCCTGGCTCCAGCAACTGTGGAGCCTTGGCCTCTGCAGCCATGGAGCTCCAGCTTGGAGATCCACAGCCAGGCAGGCAGCAGCGGGGCTCAGCTGGAGTCCTAGCCAGGGGAAGCATGGGCCGTGTTGGCAAGGACTTCCCCTTGTTCTGCAAATCCTCTTGTTCAGGACCAGTCAGGTTCTGAGGGTGCCAGATATGGGAGGTCCAACCTGAAACTCAGTTTATGCCAATGTCAAACTTGGCTGCATCCATACGGCTCCCCCATATCTGGTAGCCTATCACTCCTTTTAATGGGGTGAGGTGACATACTTGTGGAATCCAAACATTTACTCTACCTTGCATGCTACACAAACATTTAACCTGCAATTTTTTTAATCCTATTGCTTCCTAGAGTTGCTGATAGAGTTCATTGGACTTGGAATTTAATAATGCTGTTTTAAAACTAATAGGTTTTTCACATTATAAAGAATCATTCCTACTGGCAGGAAGATGGAAGTTTTCATTTTCATGTACGTTTTAAATTCCTGTCATGTAGCATACTTGCATTTGAGAGGAAAGCTGGATTTTTACCACATAGATAAATGGAAGCATTCTGCTGTATCCTTGCTCTTGGACTGTACACTGGTAACAGTCTTTTGCTAGAAATAAGTTTAATTTTAGGCTGGTCAGTTTGACTTACAAAAGACAGTATTATCTTCAATGTTTGTTTTTGTCAGTCACATTGTATTGTTGCACCAGATATGAATCGCTGTTTACCTTTAGTACTTTTGCACTTAATCAGTTTTCTTGACTATTTTGTTAACAGTAATGCATGATGCATTGACATACACATGAAGAGGACTACCCAAAAATTGAATGTTTGCAATGCAGTATTAAGACTACAGGAGACATTACAATGGAAATGAACATATCAGTTGAATAATACTTTACATGAAATCACATGAAAATTACTTACACTTAGCCTTTCTCCTGGAGGCTAGCCAGGCCTCAAGGTGTTTTAAAAGTTCTTTATCAATTTAACCACCTGTGAGAATGGAGTATAGCACATTGCCTGTCAACACCAACACTATACCTCATTTTGTGATAGTTAAATGAATGATCCAATTAAATGCAGGGTAGAATGGCATCTTTCTTTAGTAAACATTAAATTTACACTATATAACATTGAATTTATATTAGTTTATTAAAAATGTTATTTCTGAGAATAAGAAAGAATGAGAGGGTGTTAATTTGATACCTCACATTCAGGAGGTTTTGGCTGTGAGTTTGGTCTGGAACTAAGGTGAAATGAATTTTGATGGTTAAGAATGGATAGTGGCTCCCACTAGAAAATAGCCCAATTATTTGCTCATACAATACTTATGTTTACTTATGGCAGAGAATTAATTCAGTAAAGTAGCAAATCAGGAATGACAGAACTGTATGGGGACATTCTTTAATCAAGTGCCTGTCTGCCCACAGCACACTGTACCACAATCTAGGCAATTCAGTCAGTTCACCAGCCACATGCCTTTTTTGAGAACTAAATATACAGTTGTTTAAAGTGCTTATCAAATTTCATATTACAAATCTGTGGTGAAATTTGTTATTTACTGAGATAGTAGGGTCTTACACTCTCTTTCACAGGATACCAATCCTGATTTATTTTATCCAGCTACAATTGGGAAATCAAAATTATTAATTGGTCTCTTGGCCACTGCCTATATTACTTACTTCTCTACCCTAAGCTATTAAGAATGTTTGCTTGTTTTCAGAACTGTTTCAGGCTTTTTGTATGTATGTGCAACTTGAGTATAGATGTATTTTTTTCTGGCACATTTTGTTTAGTTGGAAATATTTGCCTACTGTCATCCTCTTAAAGAGAAACTGGTATTTACTGTGCGTATCTTCTGTACATAATAACAAATATGGAATGAAAGTAATGGTGTCCTCATCCACTGATTAAAAAACTGTTTGACAGGTTATGTCCAGCACTTCAGTTGATGGCAAGGTATAAGGATTTTGTGATGGTAATTTCTGTGACCTATAGAAGTTAAATTTACATCTAATTGTATAATCATCCTTAATGTTTTCTTTTTCTCGTAGATATTTTCTACTTTCATATATTCTTAAGAAAACCTGTATTATACGTGTTGAGGGCTTTTGTGTATACAGGCAGTCCCCGGGTTACGTACAAGATAGGGACTGTAGGTTTGTTCTTAAGTTGAATCTGTATGTAAGTCGGAACTGGCGTCCAGATTCAGCCGCTGCTGAAACCGATCAGTTTCAACAGGGGCTGAATCTGGATGCCAGTTCTGACTTACATACAGATTCAACTTAAGAACCCCAGGCATCCCCAAGTCAGCTGCTGCTGAAACTGATCAGCGGCTGATTTCAGGAAGCCCGGGGCAGGGGCTTCCTGTAGTCAGCCACTGGTCAGTTTCAGCAGCGGCTGACTTGGGGACGCCTGGGGCACAGCAGCTGGGGTGCTGCCGAGTTGGTCCAGTAGCACCCAGAGCGGCGCTACGGGACCAACCGGCAGCGCCCCAGCTGCTGTACCACAGGCGTCTGGAGCAAAGCCGCGGAGCACGGGGGCAGCGGGACAGCCCAGACGCGCTGTGGCTGGCCTGCTGCCCTCGGGCTCTGTGGCTTTGCTCTGCTTTGCTCCCCGTCCCCCTGGTCTGCAGACCAGGGGGACGGGGAGCAAAGCAGAGCAAAGCCGCGGAGCACGGGGGCAGCGGGACAGCCCAGACGCGCTGTGGCTGGCCTGCTGCCCTCGGGCTCTGTGGCTTTGCTCTGCTTTGCTCCCCGTCCCCCTGGTCTGCAGACCAGGGGGACGGGGAGCAAAGCAGAGCAAAGCCGCGGAGCACGCGGGCAGTGGACAGCCCAGACGTGTCTGGGCTGTCCGCTGCCCGCGTGTTCCGCCGCTTTGCTTCCTCTCCCTGGTCTGCTGGAGACGAGGGAGAGGACCCCGTTCGTAACTGTGGATCCGACATAAGTCGGATCCGCGTAACTTGGGGACTGCCTGTATTGTTAAACTAGTTTCATCCACTGAGACTTAACGTTTTTGAAAGTCTATTCCTTCAGTAGGTCTAAATCAGTGGAATTTACCTTTTGGTACAAAATAACTATTTTCTTAATGCAATAAAACCTTCTTGACTATCTTAGTTTAGTTAGACAGAGCACAACTCCTGCTTGCTCCGCTCCAACACATAGTTCAGTCAACTTGAAAAAAGACCACTCATGTGGATGATATGA